GCGCTCGTCGCCAACAAAATCATTTTACAGTTGAACATCATTATCTAGTAGAAATTTTTTATGCTACAGTTGATGTTCAACTACAATAGTTAAACAGTAGATGTAATGAGAATTCGATAGAGTTATTAACTCTTGGTTGTGCTTCGGAGCCAAGAGATGGTGACAAATTTTTCAAGGTTGAAGACGTTTGCAATCTTGTGAATAAATTTTATCCGGAGGATTTCACGAAAGTTGAAAAGAATGATTTATGAACAAAATTATGTCATTATAAGGTGGAGTTATCTTGGAATTCAGGTCTAAGAAAAATGTTTACAATCTCTGACCTAAGTCAGTGGTTGGTGGATACTAGGAAACTGAACACTTATCCATGGTTTTATTGTGATTATGTGATAATTATGTCTTTTGCACTTTTTAAAATCGTATTTTTTATTATTTACTTTACTTTAATTTTTAATTTGTTATTTCATATAAGTATAGAAATATGCATATTTGATGTTATCATTTATATTTTTTTGAAATAAACAAATAATAAAGGTAAAATTATATATATATAACTTAAAATTGTTAAAAAGATTCGGCCTCTATTAAGATATAGTTTTGGCTCCTTCCTTGTTTATATGTTTATCAATAACTTGACTATTTTGAATTTTTTTATGAAACATGAAGATCAAATTCTTATAAATTAAAACAAATATTAACTTCTTTGTTCTAATAAAATAATGGGGTGAAACTTATAATTATACGCAATGTTTTATATGATATATATACTATAGGGGATCAAAATACACATAAACTAGGGGAAAACTCACACAGGCATTGCATGGATCTTAAATTTAAGTATTAAAAAGGTAACCACTATTTAATGAGTCAATTACTCATTGAAATGAGAACTAACACGTATCACGTGTACTCAAAGTATAATTTTTATTTTAAATTGGTCTTTAAACTTTTAACTATTTTAATTTCATCCCTAATTATGAATATCATTCTAAATTAGTACTTAAACTTTTGAACATTTTAATTTCATCCCCAAACTATTACCTTCATTCTAAATTGGTCCTCAAACTTTTTGAACATTCTAATTTCATCCCAAACTATATGTATATACTAATCACATCCATTTTTAATAAAACCATTAGGCAAAACTATAGTATTATATGTTTAAAAAAATCAAAATTTAGGTTAAATTATTTTTGAAACTAATTACATATTTGGATGAATTTGGTGATGAAATTGGAATATTCAAAAGTATGGGGATCAATTTAGAAAGAGAGTCATAGTTTAGGTATAAAATTAAAATGTTTAAAAGTTTAAAGACTAATTTAAAATGAGACTCGTAATTTAAGGATGAAATTAAAATATTTAAAATTTAAGATCAATTTAAAATAAAAATTATAATTCGAGATCATATGATGTAATTAACTCTTAAAATTAATATACTCATGAAAAAAGTCAAAAATGATTCCAAACTCAAAAACTGTTCCAACAAAAATCAATTTAAAATAAAAATTATAATTCCAGAACTTACGATGCAATTCACTCTTGAAATTAAATTACTCATGAAATTGGGAAGAAAAAGTAAAAAGGAATATTAAAAAAGAAAAAAGGGGCCCATTGCTGGACTTGAGAAATTTAAGATGGGGATACAGTAAATGTCTGAGAAAGCAGATATTGCAGGCCTCTCTCTCCTCCCAATGCCCTTTACTCATTCTCACCAACTCTCATCCCTCGTAACACCATTTTATATTTATTATCAAACTTTTAGATACGTTTGGTTTACGAAATATAAGATTATCAGTGAGAATATGATTATCGGTAGGAATAAAATTACTGAAAATATTATATTTTGTGTTTGTTTCATTTAGCATGAATGTAAGATTACCGTGTTTAGTTAAAGGAATAAAAGATTATTAAAATGTATATTTTATCAAATTATACTTATTATATATTTTTTAAAAAGTTGAATTTTACTATAATTAATTTATATATATATTTTTTTAAAAATTTAAATTCATAAAATTTATATAATTTTTTTACAAAATTGAAAAGATAAATAGGTTTAATGAAAGGGTAAAATTTTATTTTAAACCTTAAACTTTATATAAAATTCTAAATATGAACTTGTTTTTGTAAATCTAAAACAGTTTAAGAATAAATTTATAATTTAACATTCGTAGATTTTTTTTATTTAACGAAAGAATAAATATATATTTTTTAAAAAAATTTAAGGACATTTTAGTCCAAAATGCCGATAATCTAACAATACTAAGGAAAGAGAAGTAATCACATTCTCCATACTATATCCCAAAATATCACTGTTGATAATAAAAGATTACTGATGGCTGAAAATGTTGATCAACCAAACGGTAGAATGACATTCTATTCCCCCAATAATCACAGATTACCTAAACCAAAAAACTTCTTCCTATTTATGCAAGCTTTATAAACTATATTATTTATTTTTCGCTTCTCAAAACTGTTTTTATTTATGCAAGTTTTATCAATTTCATTACTTTTTGTTTTATTTTTTATTAATTTATGATGATTATTATATAATATATATTTTAAATATTATCAGTTATTTAATAAAGAAAGTTTAAATAATTTTATAATTCTTGATGTTCGAATATGTAATCTCTAGAGATAAAAAATATCCCTTTAATTATTAAAGTAATTTGATTCGTGTTATTTTTGTTGTATTTTATATTTTATTTTAATTATTCTCACATAATACATATATATTGAAATTATTTCCTATATAATTTATCTATACCCCATCCTAACATAATATATACAACGAGGGATTAAACTGCAATGAGTAATCTGTCTTTTTGATTTGTACCTTAATAAAAGCCATGATAACATAAAAAAATATATAAATTTTAAATGAAAATAGAAGGGTGATAAATCCATTCTTGTTGTTTATTTAAATTAATTATTGGTATCTGAATTTTTTAATCAATTAATTCATATTAAATTTTACAAAAGTTTATTATGGACGACCCTTTCAATCTAATTTATTATATTCTTAAACATTAAGATTCTAACCCTTAAGATTGTTAATAAATACATTCTTCTTATTGAATGATTTGAAAATAAAATAAGCCTCACAATTTCATTTTTTATTTATTTTTTTAAATGGAGGCGTTGATACGTCATTCATCAATTTTATAATATATTTACAGTGGATAATTTTTTTAACTAGGTTTAAATAATATATTTTTAAAATAAATGTTAATATTTAAATCCATATAAAATAAAATAATATTAATATTTTTAGTTATTCAATTAATTAGTGGATCTTAGAGAATAGAAAACTTTGAAAAAGTGATAATATATTTTTATGACATTATTTAGAAGGAAAGTAAAATAATAACAATAATCTTATCGGCTGTCATTTTTAAATTTGAAAAATAAGAGTAAAATAATATTATTATTTAACCATGTTTCATCTTTATCATCTGAAATTTAAAAAGATTTATATTTTTGCACAAATAATAAAATAATTAATCATTATTCACATTTTTCTATTTTTAATTTATATATATGTTATCAAACAAAACTGGAGCAATAGTACACCTAACGTGTACAAAATTTTGCAAGCTAGTGAAGGGTTTAAAAACTTTAATTCCATATGCAAAAAACTAATTTAAATGATAATAAAAAAAAAAGGTAAGAAAGAGATGGGTGTGAACTGTGAAGAGAATTACATGGACTAAAATATTCACTCTTATCATTATGGTTAGACTTAATAATTATAACTATACCTTAATATTAATTTTAATAGTCTTAAACGACACATCTTGCAAACATAACTATTTAAATAAAACACAGAACAATATTTTCTTTTATCACTAAAATCTTAATAGTCTTAAAGTAATATATGTTCTAAATATTCTTAACAATTTGACAATAAATGTTCAATCACTCTTGCAGTCTTTAGTGCTCGAACCAATGATCTCTAAAAATAATAATTATTTCTTTAACATCTGAGATAAATTAGTTCGTGTTTTTAATTTATATTATTTATTATTACATTTACAAAACATTTTAAATAATTATATAATATAAGATGATATACAAACACAAAATAAATATTTGTATTTAGGGTAAAATATACAAATGGTCCCCTAACCTAGGGCATTGCTTTGTTGAGTCTCCCAACTATTAAAAGTCATAAAACAGTCTCCCAACTATAGAATACTACTGTGTTGAGTCATTCGACTATTAAAAGTTACAAAATGGTCATCCAACTATTCATATGTTCCAAACTCGTCATTTTCTGTTAAAAACATTGGCAGTCGTCTTTGCTAGATGTTAACCTATTGACTAAGATATGATAAAATATGATCCCAAAATCATTTGAGCTTTATTTTGTGGATTGACTCTCTGTTTGCATTGCACCATCGAGTCAGTGCGTAAAACATTATGTCGTTGAGCTAATGCTTGAAAGCAGCGACGATGCCAGTAAATATAATTTTATCATATCCCAATTTACAAGTTAACGTCCAGCTCAACGATCTTTATTTTTTTAATGGAAGATGACAAGTTTGGAACACATGAATAATTAGATGACTATTTTGTTACTTTTAATAGTCAGAAGACTCAACAAAATAACGCCTTAAAATCAAAGGATTATTTTATAACTTTGAAAAGTTAAAAGACTCGAGAAAATAATATACTATAATTGGGGACCATTTCTATAATTTACCCTTATATTTAATGGTTCAAATATAAATATACCTATAGGAAAACATAATGCTAGTTTTACTACAATAACACATGCATGTGTAACCCCCACTTAACCATGGTTAAAAGATGGGTTAAGAATGACAACCACAGAAGCAAAGATTTTTCAATTATCACTACTTCTCTCTTGCTCTTCCTCCCTCCCTTTCTTCTCTAACCAACAAACCCCCTCAAATTAACAAAGAAAAAAGAAACTTTTTTTTTAATTTTTAATTTCTCCCATATGATCAATTTTCTCATAAAATCCATCTTCAAAACCCTTTGAAAATCCATTTTTATCTCTTTATTTTATGTTTTTCTTTAATTTTTAGAATTTTTTCACCTCTTTTTCTGTGTTAAATATAGATGTTAGAGCCATGGATATAGCTCTTGCAAGCAACACACCAAAGTCGCCGGAGGCTGAGCCAGAGCCCGAACCAGTGAGTGAAACACCAACTCGAATCCAACCCGGCAAGCCCTTATCTTTCACCAACGGTGTTCTGAAGCGTCACAAGCCGCAGCAGCAAGCGCCGCCCATCGTCATAGCCTACAAAGAATGTCTGAAGAACCATGCAGCCACCTTAGGTGGCCATGCTTTAGACGGTTGCGGCGAATTCATGCCTTCCCCAACAGCCACCCCTACTGACCCAACTTCCCTCAAATGTGCTGCTTGTGGCTGCCACCGCAACTTCCACCGCCGTGAACCAGATGACCCACCACCCACAACAGTCACCGCCACTATAGAATACCAGCCCCACCATCGCCACCATCCACCACCACCTCTGGCAAGCCAACCGAATCGTAGTCCTAACTCAGCCTCCCCACCACCGATCTCATCATCTTACTATCCTTCATCTCCCCACATGCTTTTAGCTCTTTCAGGAGGTCTAACAAACTCCCATTTACCTGCTGGTGGCCTTGCACCCAACACTGCAAATCTCGGGTCGAACTCGAAAAAAAGATTCAGAACAAAGTTCAGTCAGTACCAGAAGGACAAGATGCTGGAGTTTGCTGAGAAAATTGGGTGGAAAATCCAGAAAAGATATGAACAAGACATTCAAAAATTCTGCCATGAGGTTGTGGTTGATAGAGAGGTTTTAAAAGTCTGGATGCATAACAATAAGAACACTTTTGGGAAGAAAGATCAAGCCAATGGAGGATCGAGAGATGGAATCCAAGTTGTTGAACTCAACCATGAAGAACAACATAAAAACAACAACAACAACAGCAGCGGCGACCACCACAGAAATGGTCAGAATCTGAACCATCACTTCGAAGCTGACGGTGTTGCACATCTTGGAACTAATGGCTGCTCTTCTTCTTCCTCTTGATATGGTTGATGATGATCAGCTTCATCTTTCTTCTTCTTTTTTCCTTACGAGGGAGATAATAAGCTGTTAGATAGAGTAAGGGACTTGTTTATTAGTTTAAATTTTGTTCCTAATTAGTTTAATTAATCATCATCACTTTGCTACTGATATAACCTGCTGGGAATTAAGAGCTGCTTTGAATCCAAAAGGGAACTTATTTTCTTTCTTTCTGGGATCATAAACTTGCATGTTTTGTATGTTTTCAAACAGTGAAAAACATCTTAAAAATCCTTTGAATCTATGATATTTCCTTAATCAAAGTTAAAGAGAGAGCTCCGTTTATCATTATCTTCTGTCTGAGAAAAAGAAGCAGAAAGTGTTGTAAAACATGAATCAGATCATCATTTAAAAATACCCCATTGATTTTATAATAATATTTTATGACTCAAATTTATGTACAGAATAAGATCCACAAAGCTTGTTTATCTGGGGAAAAGGGTCTTCAATATGAGATGATTTTGCAGAATAATTAACTGTGTACGTTTGTTTGTGCATGCATATTTGCAGTATTATAATGGATGAGATGAACTGATAAGACTAATATTTATATAAACTATTATCTAAAAACTTTAATTTATTATTCTTCAAGTACAAAAAAGAATGCTTCATTAGTTCTCAATAGCTTCTTTGCTTTACCTTTTTTTTTTTAAATAATAATAAAAAACTATATTTTCAAATAATGCAGGGGATGAGATGGGCTTTGATGGGCTATATTTTACACATAAAATATTAGTTTATCTCTTGGAATTACGTGATTTGTGAAAATTTTTCTCATCTTTGCTTTATTCAATTTTTTTATTTCACTTCCTTTTAAAGGGGAATAAGAATTGTTGATATATATTGGTTTAAGTGGTAAGTAGTTTAATATTGTTTAAATAAAGTTTCGAATTCGAGTCTTTATGTATGAAAAAAATTATTGTTGAAAGATTCACCAACCAAAACTAAATATGCGACGCGAATCAATATGAATTAAACAAAACTTTAAAACCACGAGGAAAAAAAGGAAATAATAACTTAAAGAATCTAATTTTTGATACTACTACTATCGTTATAGATACACACTATATTTTAAAGCTTAATATAAAAATAAATTTTTAATTCATTTTTTATTTTTATTTTTAAATTTTTATTAAAATAATGGTTAATTTATTTTTTAAAATTAAACTGTTAATATATGTAAAAAATGTGTCATCTAGTCAATACATAACATGTGATTTAATATTGAATTTTTTATTTAAAAAATTGTATGTCTTTAATTTTTTTATATAACAACTCCTTAAAATTCTTAAAATTTTAAAAAGAAATCCTAAAATTACCATCGATCATCCCTTTTATTGTTGGTCTTTAAGCAGTCAATTGTCGGGTAGTTCTGTTGTACGACATCTTTAATATTCTTTTAAAATTACCTAAAACATTATTTTTTTTACCAAAAATATTAATTTCGCTACTAATTTCCGATAGAAAAAATAACATTTTAGGTAGCAGTCAATATTAATATTTCCGGTAGAAAAAAATAATATTTTAGATAACACTTTACCGAAAATGTTAAACATATTAGGTAGCGACCAATATTAACATTTCCGATAAAAAAAATATTTTAAGTAACGTTTTACTGAAATTGTTAAAAAATTATTAACATTTCCAATAATATTTTTCTTTAATCGTATATTAAAACTGTCATACTTTAGACATTCCATCAATTGTCTCCTTATCGTCGCATAAAATTCTTATATCTCTTTAAACTATTGGAGTTCAGGATGTGATGCAGGTTTGTCGTTGTCGTCGTACCAGCTGACGATAATTGAGTAACGATGAAATACGATTTTGAGACGATTAAAGATTTAGACATTTTATGTGACGACATAGGATTGATCGATCGGTAGTAATCTAACGATAAAAAAATGGACAATAGTGATTGATTCGATAGTGTAAGTTTATCAATTGTGATAAACTAGTGGTCGATTCGGGAATTATGAATTTAAAGATTGTAGGGTTTATTTTAGGGGTTAAAAATTGAAGATTTTATTTTTTAAACAATAAAATAAAAATAAGGCTATTTGTCATTTATCTATTGGATGATATTTTTTTTACGGAAATTAGCGATTGGACTTTAAAATATTTAACACCCAAAACAAAAAAAATATATAATTTAAGTCCTTAATTCTCGGAGAAACCTTATTTTAAATACTTAAAATATATAATTTTATATATTATCAATAAAGTTAAATATACTATATGATTCTATTCAATATATATATATTAAAAATGAAATAAATTTAACTTAAAATTTATATTAAATTTATTATCAAATAAATTAATATTTTTATATCATACATTTAATAAATTTTTATTTAAATGTTTTTATAAAAGAGCTTATTTTTATAATTGAATATTAGTTTTATATAATAGTTGCAATGAAGCCAAGGAATTTATGACTAATAGAAGTTGGTTCAAGAAATAAGTAGTTTGATATTGCTTAAGTATGTCTCGAGTTCGAATTTTTATGTATGCAGAAAATTACTACTAAGAGACTTACCTTCAAAATTAAGTGTATGATCTAAATTGATTCGAATTAGTTAAAACAAAATCTTGAGAATTGAGATATCAAGAAAAAGAAAAGAGAAATTTATTGCAAAAAATATGAGATTAGAATGGGTTAATGAAGTGACATAAATGTTTAGTGGTGTGTTTATCTAAAACAAGTGTTTATTAATTAATTAATTTTATTTTTTTTAGGTGATCTGATGAAGTCAGTCGGTTTGCCCTTAAAAGTCCACCATTAAGACCAGGCAGATTCTCTTGTTTTTTTACTTGAAGTTTGAGCTTTGCTTCTGTTTCCAACACTAACTTTTCATTTAATGCAACAACTGTTTCTTGTGTTCTTTTTCTAACACTGATGCCCCAAAGTCTCCCATGCTTTCATTGCGCATTTCATCTTTCTACTTCTTTAAGCTTCGAGATTTAGGGTCGGTTTATTTCATTTAAAATAGTTTTCTATGAATTCTGGAAAATAAGTTATATTTTCAAAAGATATTTTTTTTAAAAATATCTTATATTATTTAGATGTTATATTATAAAATATTTTATACTATTTAGTTAGTTTTTTGAAAATAATTTACGGAATCTGATTTTTGTAAAAATGTATATATTTTTATATTTTTGTTGTTGTTTACCTTTTAAATTTTTTAAGTTATTTTTATAAAATTATATTTTATAAAATTTTGAAATTAAATGTTTTATTTCTATAAGTACACCAAATTAAATTTGTAGATAATATTAATAATTTATGTTGATTGTACTATAAGTACATAATTTTATTAGGTTTGAAGTATTCATGATACTTATTTATTAGCATTTTTAAAATTAAATTTTAACTTATAATTAACATTATATGTAGGTTTAATTGATATAATCTTGATAATGTATTAAAAATATATTACCAAAGTAAATAATTAAAAGTTTACATCATATTAAAACAATAATAGTACATCACATTGGAATAATAATAATATTTTTAAAGTGTTTAATTAAAACTACACCATATTAAGACAATAATATTATTCAACCATAATAATTCAATCCGAATTTTTCCTCTTTTAAGTATAGGGATGGGCACGAAACCCAAACTCGATGGGTTTTAATTGGACTCAACCCGATTGGGTAGAATTATTTTAAAAAAATTAGGTTTGGGTCGGGTCAAGTTGGATTTTGTAGAGGATATATTCGAATTGGATCTGGTCGGGTCGGGTATTTTTCACCTTAAACCCAACTTGACCCGAAAAAATAATTTTACCTGATATATTTAGAGATAATTGCTCTTATACCCCTCTATATATTATTTTTCAATTAAATCCCTATTTTTATTGAAACATATTTTTTTAATAAATATATTTTTTTGGAATAGATCGGGTCGAGTTCGGTTTTTATCTTAAAAATCAGGTTGGGTTCGAGTTGGGTGGAGGATGTATATTTTTGGGTCGGATTGAATCGAGTGGAAGATATATAATTTTTAGATCAGATCGGATCGAGTGGAGGATATATAATTTTCAGGTCATATCAGATTGACAGAAAACGCGACCCAGGCCCATCCATGTTCAAGTACTTCTATAAAATATCATCTCTTCAATAGAGCTTTTATTTTTGTTTGTCTTTACAAAATTTCTTCTTTCTCCTTGGTTTATCTTTTTATTTATGGGTAGAATGTACAAATGGTTCTCAATTATAGAATGTTGCTTTATCGAGTATATCGGCTATTAAAAGTTACGAAATGATCTTGATTGTAGAACACTATTTTATTGAGTCTCTCAACTATTAAAAATTACAAAATGGTTATCTAATTATTCATATGTTTCAAACTCATTTTTTTTCGTTAAAAAAGGGGCTTTCGTATGAGTTAGATATTAACCTACTGACTCGGATATGATTTTATCATATTTTAATGATGTATACTGGCACCACTATTGCTTTCGAGCATTGACTCGATGACATAATATAAACAGAGAGTCGATTCGCAAAATACAACTCAAATAATTGTAGGATCAAATTTATCATATCTCAGTCAATAAATGTCCGGCTCAGACGATCGTCAAATTTTTAATGGAAAATGATGAGTTTAGAATATATGAATAGTTGAATGATCATTTTGTAACTTTTGATAGTTAAGGACTCAACAAAGCAACACCTTATAGTTGAGGAATTATTTTGTAACTTTTAATAGTCGGAGACTCAACAAAGTAATGACATATAGTTGAATGATCATTTATGCACTTTAGCCTTTATTTATTAAATGGTTTTAAATTTGGGTGCATAAGATGTCCAATGGTTACAATTCTAGTGGGGAATAGGGGGAAAATGGTATATTATATGTTGAGTTGTGTGAGTTTTAATTATAATCATCAAAGAGAGAATGATACATTAATAAACTGATTAAAAAGGTTAAATTGTTGATAAGATAATATTAGGTGTAATAAACTGACATTACATCAATAATATAATATACTTTAGATGACTGACATTACATCAACCATAGCTTTTTTGTCATTTTCTTCCTCAACTTAAAGCATACTTTATGTTGGGAAAGTAGGCTTGAGATTCACCAAAACTAGTAATAATTAAGAAATTGCTTAGCAGATGAGTTAACTTGAAGGTATTTTTTTTATTTTAAAAATTATTTTAAATTATT